AGGGTTTCAGGTAATTTTCTCATTTTAAAAGTACCCCTGTCACGTGGCCCAATTGTTAGCCCAACAACTCCATAGCATCTTTTCTACTTGCTTCTTTATTTATGTTAGTTCTGAGTCAAATGATGGAAGAGGCATTAGTTCAGTCTCGACGAGTACTTTCTAACAAGTTTTCTACTTTTTCAATAATATTTTTTCTTCGACGGGAAACAGTAACTTTTTTTTTTTTTAATTATAGTTGTAGGATAGCTTTGTTTGCATATCAGTTTGTGAAATTATTTTTATTTTCTATTAAACCCACGATCTATACGTGGTAGTACGTTACTAGTGGAAATAAATAAAAATAAACAAACAAATGAAGGCTTTCAATTCGAATACTGAGATTGAAACTGTAGGCTTAGGGGCCATTACTCGTGGTCCATTTATGTATAAGTCAATACAATTCAAATTCCTTGCACACATACTAAAAATGGATACACCATTATTCTAAATAAATCAACTCAAAATAAATTTAAAATAAAAAAAAGTTGATAATCAGCATTGGTAACTTCATGCAGCTGCAGTGATGCACTCAATCGCCTGTTTGCATATGCCAGTCATGGTTTCCTCAGGTCCATATACCTTAAACAGAACAAAAGTAGACAATGATGTTTATTTTCCTCGTACAAGTCGAGCAAGTTTTTGAAGGTTCGAACATGTATGAAAGATATATAAGTGCATACCTCGATGGGAATGCCGATTTCTTCACCAAGAGTCCTCATTTTGGCAAGTCCCTTTTGGTAATTTGGTCCACCTCTTCGGACGTATAAATTCATTCTGGCAGCCTTAAGCTTCGACTCCTGTTATGAGAGAAGTCGAATAGGAGTTCTCAGCTTATGAAGAAGAACTGATATTTAATGACGAGCTTTAATGGCTTGTTTGGTAAGGCCTACAAATACATAGACATGAAGGTTCCTTACCTTCTCCTTTAAAGCTCGGATAATTCCATTGAATGTAGCAGCAACATCAGTGAAGTTGGCAATTCCACCACCTATTACGAGGGCTCTCTTTCTGCCATCGGGATCTGCAGTTGCACACTGTAAAATAATTCATGAGTCTACATTGGAATTCATCAAAGAAATAGTCTTAAGGAAGCTTATGTGGAAGAAAATTAGTATATCCCTAATGAATGAATCTATGCCTTTTGTTTTCCAAATAAGAACAATAAAATAAGAAATGAATTTAAGGCATCTCATAATGCATCAATACGATCCTTACATCGATCACAACTCGGGCATATTGCAAGACCTCCTCTTCATTGGGAGCACCACTGTATTCTGCATAGTTCCCGAGCTCAGAAGCATAGCCAAGGTCTCCAACCTGGCCATGGAAGAAAACCCATGTTAAGCCAATGTCAACAATGGCGGGGAATAAGGAAGATTACGACATCAAAGTGCACGTTTGATGGGCAGTATTTTACTTATTTTTGTTATTTAATATTGTCTAGTATTGTCTAATCCATGTTACCAAATATGTCATAAGAGCATGAAAATGCCAAAGATATGTAACATACAGTATCTGCGTAGATGACGCTTGCACCTCCTCCAGCGACCATAGTCCAAATTCGTCCTTTTGGGTTCAAGACTGTGAATTTCAGAGATGCACTCGTCTGCAAGCAATGGTAAAATAAAACTCAATATGATTTGATGCGGATTTTAAACAGAGAGCTTGTGATTTTGTGAAATTTTTAAGAGGAAATATGTTAGATAATACTATGAATATTAAAGTAGAAGAAAAGTGTATACAGTTCGGGGGGTTCTGAAATTCATATTTGCTAGTCATTGCATGGACAGATTTCAAAATAAGTTACTTGTATTGACACTAAGGTGAGTTACTTTTTGATAAGTAACTTCCATAAGAGTAAGAAAAAAGAGTCATATATTTTTGACAAATAGGACAAGTTTTTTTAATTTGAAATGGCTTTCTTACATAGGTCAATTGTATTGATACATACCTTCTCGTCCAGCCCATGAATAAAGCTTTCAGTGGAACTCATAACTCTTCCAAACGGCATTGGAAATTCGATACTTCCCCATCTGCAATATCAAGGTCACATAAGAAATTGTACGGTATAAAATACATGCACTAAACGAGCAACAATCAACAAAAAGGGGATCAAATTACTTTTTGAAGTTCTTAAATGCAGCAGTATCATCAAGCTCGCCTCTCATATCCAAAGGATAAGGCTTTCCCTCAACCAAGGTGAAAGGATTCATCTCAAGGAAAGTGAAGTCCAAATCTAAGACATAAAAAATCTATATCAATCCAAGAACTATTGTAACCTCGGACATTTCTACGAGTGAAAATTTATGGTGAAACTCTCAAGGTTACCTAAAAATAAAGCATAGATTACTTTGATGAACTCCTCAATCACACCTTTGACCTGTATCATAGAGAAGAATATCAATATGGAACTTTAAACAACAGCACTGAAATGTAAAGAATATTGTAGTCTATATGGCACTGAATTTGATATTTTAGTTTTGCTGCGGAAGTCAACGTTTGTCTCTGCAGTCTTTATAGATGATGTTTGGCTACGTTTAAGAAAAAATGAATTTACTTTTGAGCAACATTTTGTCTCCAAAAATGTTTAAATAACCGACCCTTTTCCTACTTTGACCTTTTGCCTACTTTTAGTAAGAAAAGTTGCAATTTTTGAAAATAGCTCTCACCTCATTGTCAAAATAAGTAACTACTTACTTGGTCTCCCTTTGGCGAGATAAAATTATTTATTTAAAACTCACTTATTTAATTAAATAAATTTACTTATACGTGAAAAATTTAAGCTTAGCCAAACATGCTCTAAACTATAAGCATGAGAAATGGACACTACGTTAAGTATTAATAGATGTACCTCCATGGGAAGGGTTGCCACAAGAGGAGCACATAGCTCTGATGTAAAAGATACACCAGTTGGCAAAAAGATAGTCTTAACCTGTACAGAAATAAAAAAAAAAAAAACAAATGTCATCTGTTAGTAAGATTTAAGAGGGACATACGAAATAAATTCGAGAAAATAAGAAGATGCCTTTTGCTGGATTAGTTATATAGCAGGGTTTTGAGTACCTTGTCCCAGTTCTCTTCAATTTCAATTCCTCCACATTCTGAAAAGCTGATGCTACAACCGAGCCTCTCAGAGACAATATTGAGGTAGAACTCTTCATTATGAGGAACAAATGGTTCGACAATGAATGTTGTAATGGGACCTTTGCAGCCTCCCATCTCAACCTGTTAACTCAGAAATAAACACGCAGCTTAAAGAATAACTGAATACATGTCGAACCATGGACCAAATTATATTTCATATATATTCTAATGCATGTATTTATATGACGAAATATGTAGCAGTACCTCCTTGCCTAGTCGCTCTTTCACAAAACCGGCAACTTGAGCCAAATCGAGGTTTAAGGCAACAAGACCACTTTTCCCACGTTTGCCGAATAACATATCGGGTTTGACAACTAGTTTTGTCGATGAGAGCCATGGTTCTTTATCTACTAGTTCATTGAAATCACTCGACTCGGTAACCTAAACCATGATGAGGAGAAATATCACATTATTGAACTTAAATTAAGATCTATTTACCAAATGCAAACAAATCATTTACAACAGCTAAAATCCAGTTCATTATGTTGTCTAGTTGTGTTTAATAATACTATGAGAAATTTGAAAGTAAAGATTTCATATATGTTCAAGTAATTCTTACGAAAGATCCGTAAAGCCTAAGATGATGAGACCTTAGAATGTTAAATTGTACTAATACTTTGCCTACCTAATCCCAACGAAATCATTTTAGTCAGAACAAAAAGAAAATGTTAAAGAAGGGAATCAAATCCAGCAAACGACGACGACGACGACGACGATGATGATGATGATAATAATAATAATAATAATATTATTATTATTATTATTATTATTATTATTATTATTATTATTATTAAAAACACAGATTTCGATCTGCCGGAATAAGGCACAAGCATACGAGTAGATGACAAACTCCTATCTAAATTTTAGCCAATAAGGTGAAATTAAGATTCAGGTAACCAACCACAAGGCTTTTATTAATTCAGCAACCAATTCTCTATCTGTTCCTTTCTTCTCTACCAACATCAAACTTTCACATAACCAACAAAGATAATCTTGTAAAAATAACCCATGGTAAAAAAAATAAGCTAATTGTTTAAGAGAATAACAGGGTCCAAGGAAACTCAAACCAGCTTTTTGGTATTTCTTTATTCCTTAACCAAATTTTCATCTGTTCCTTTCTTCTCTACCAACATCAAACTTTCACTCAACCAACAAATTCTAGATCTTGTAAAAATAACTCATGATCACAAAAATAAGTTAATTGTCTGAAGAAACTAACGAAGTCCCCAATCTCAAACCAGCATTTCGATGAGACTAAAATTCAAACGAGGAGTCAATTTAACATGGAATCCCAAATCTTAATACAACGAACTAAATTATGAGAAATTGAAATTACTTGGGCAGATTTGATTTCCAATTCAGACCCAGAAAGCCTTTTGAAATGCTCTTTCAGCAACCTCTTGGAATCATACTCTCTGATCTTCTTCCTCGCCATTTCTTTTCAACCTGTACCCAGATCAAAATCAATCAAGAACTTTGAAATTGAAATAATTTCAGATCTGTTAATCTTAATCCAATCATAATATAAAAAATAACCCAAAAAAATTGAAAGAAATTTGAGTTTTTTTACTGTTTAAAGAAGACCCAAGAGAGGATTCAAGAATTTCAGGTAATGTGTAGATCCACGCTATGAATCTTGGGATTCAGCTACCTGTATTTATAGGTAAGAGAATTCGGGTCAAAATTGGTGTGGAATTTGTAAAAATATTATAATGGTTTCTTATTTGAGCGGGAACTAGTCTACACATGAGACACAGTACAACTACCTACCCACTTATTTGGACCGGCCAGTTGGTACTGCTACAATTAATTCATATTTTTTATTGGTTCAAATACGGAACCTTAACTTGCACACTTTATTTGTTGGCTTTCTTTTACTCTATAGTCTATGCTCTTCGTATGACAAACGTTCACTTAACGGCACTTCTCGTGACACCAATACAGGTAGTTACATAGGACGATTATCTGATTTTTGCATTTAGACATTAGCCCCCGTCTGCTTCCACTACTCTGAAAGACAAAATGAGAAATTTGACCCCGTTTTTTCAAAATAGTGGGACCCACTCACTCACAAAATGGTCAAACGGTAAAAATTCTCATTTTTTGGGTGAAAGTAGTGGAAACAAACAGAGGCTTAATATTTCTCACTCATTTTATGACAAATGACACTTTTGTAACGTGGACTTGAAATCTGTTTTCTATATCAACAAAATGACCTTTAATAACTTGCAAATCTCATGTCATGTGTATTTTGAAAGTATTGAAAAAAGATGAAGCCTTTTATTCTTTTGTGATAAACTATAACTTTATTTATTGCTACTATCCTTTGTAAATTAGGTAGAAGTATTGCACCTAATTGAAACGTTTTGCGGTTGGTTAATGCCCACCATGAATGACGACGATAGAAAATTAAAGGTCATAAATGACATTCTTGTAAATATGTCATAGTCAAAGAATCATAGTGTGGAAAAATGATTCATATGATTTCGTAACAAAGTCACTTTCTTTAAATTAATTATAAATCTCAAATATTTTCTCAATCAACCTTTATGAAAAATACAAGAAAAGTCTTTTTCTACTTATCTAAACTAATTAATGTTCTTTAAATGGATTTGAATCTTCCCACCAAACAATTGATGCTTTAAATTTCTTTTTAAGTGGTTAGCTTTCAATTCGATCCCACTAAAATAAGGAAAAAAAATAAAAAAAATCACAATTTAAAGTTATCTAAATGTTAAAATTGCATTTATTTGTGTTTGGAAATTCATTTAAATTATATCTCTCTTTAAAATCGAATCAGAAATTTTCCTTTCAAAGCGAAATTCCAAAGAGGAGTCATAATAAAAAAAGAAGATATAATTATTTTAAACGTGAAAGATTAATTAAAAATATCTCTGGCCGGCTGCTTTAAATAGGATACAAAATTGAATTTTTTTAATAAAAATATATTAATTTAAAAATTGATTATTCCACAAGGTTGGGCTGCTTTGAAATGTAAGTCCAATCGAATGAAAGTTGACTTAACCCTAGTCAATACTGCACTGCTAGTGCTTTTTTTTTTTTTCTCTGATCGACTTTAAAACTTTCACATTCTTGTGAACAAATTATTTTCCAACGAGTTTTTTATGTTTTCATTGGTCAGCCATCCCTTCTGAACAGGTTTTATTTGACTTCTCGTTTTGCATTTTCCTTTTGTGCTATGTTCGAAGAAAATAAATCTTTACATGAAACAAAATCAGAAATAATGGTTAGCTTCTAAATTATGAAAACTTGCCATTAATTTTTTTTTTTTTTGAATCGTGTTGATACACTTACACAGTTACATTAAACAAAGGATTTGTTTGAGTCCAATTTTTTGAGAGAATGTATTGTTAAAAATTAAAGAGAAAATTTGAATTTACGTGTAAAATTATTTTATAAAAAAACGTGTGAATGAAAATTAGACAAATATATTTACACCACTATTTTTATTATCAGCGTCACATTTTCAATTTAATAAAGGTCCTTCATATTTATTTTCACTATTCATTTTCAATCATACATTCTTATAATAAAATATTGTGCATGTACTATTCAAAAATTCATTTTTCTTAAAAAAAAGAAAAAGATGTGAAACATGGGCTAAATTTAAGTCTTCATTGCGGGCGCGGACGGCTTCCTAAAATTGACTTGTTGCTTGTTAGTTTCCAGTTTTCACAAAAGGATTGAATTTGTGGCGTTTTGCATTTCAGCAAATATGGTAAGAAAATATATTATAACGTGAGTTATATTAAGCCTTATTTTATTTAGTAAAAAAAAAAATAACTTTCTAGTAAATTTTGATCAAATTTAATAAAATGTGTGATAAAATTTAATTGTTTACTTTAATTTAAAATTTTGATGAATTTTTAACTGAATCAAACAAGGCTAAAAATAGAAGTATTCCCTTTTTTTGTGTGAAGAAAATAGTGCTGAATTGACCATTTATGCTGTAATGGTTTCATTATTATTATTATTAAGGAAAATCATAAATCAGGCGTATAATTTACACCAATTCACAAATCAGGTTTATAATTTGAAAATTCAAAAATCAGGATTTTTTTTTTAATTTTTATTTATGAAATAATAAATTATTAAATCAATTTATTATTAAATATTTAATTCTAATATAATATAAT